CGCCAGACAAGTCCAAAGTTTGTCCAGTCTATAGCATGTCCACTATCGATTTTATGTTTGGCTATTGACGATTTACTTTCCTCTGATATTAAGATCTTTTCCTCAGTAAAGATATGGGTACCATTTAGCTTCATGTCAGCTTTTACACTTAACTGTTTATTATGTATTCTAGCTGATCTCCTAAGTGATGCCGTATTAGGAGTTCGAAACGTTGAAATATTTCGTTTTAATTTAATTATATGTATTTCAATAAAATGGAAACTACTGCTGTTACTTTATTATGCGTACCACTAGTTTGTTTTCCAGATTTGAAAAACATTTTTCTAGTATCGGCGTCAAAACACCGTGCACTTGGTTGTGTTTTGAATATCTTTTGATAGAAAAGAGCTAGAGACCTCCGATTTTCACCAGTGGGAAGAAGAAACTTGGGGGCATATTTCCATAACTAAAATTGTTTTCATAACAGTTTTCTGAAACAGGTTTTCTAAGAGATCTTTGGAAAACTATGCCGTCTGTAAACATTTTCCAATCGGTTTGTATTGCTTTTTCTCATGGACCGATAGCCCGGACTGATAGCCTCTTCAAAATGAGGGTAAAGTGAGACCTTGATTTTCCGCGGTTCGGGCGTTGTATCAGATTTCCTACTAGTCCCAGCGCTGTCACCCGGTGACTATTGGTAGCCTTAAAGACGTACGCGCTATGGGTAATCGACCATGGTAAGTTTCGTGGCAATATTTGTTTTTCTAAACAGTTTCAAAAACTTAGTGAAAATGTACATTAGGTGAAATATCCCATTTCTACCTATTTTTGAGTAAAATTCAAAAATTCATAACTCGGTCAAGATCAATCCAAGTTATGTCAGAATATCAAGATGTACTCTATTTTATCTGCTCACAACTATGCAATTTAACAGAAGCGTTGAAAGGCGACAGAAAATACTCTGGTTTTTGAAAGGATTTTCTAGAAGTCTTCCGAAGTACAAGAATGTTTTTACTATTCTCAAGTAAAAAATCGTTTGGAGCAGGTAAAATAGAGTACATCTTGATATTCTGACATAACTTGGATTGATCTTGACCGAGTTATGAATTTTTGAATTTTACTTAAAAATAGGCAGAAATGGGATATTTCACCTAATATACGTTTTCACTAAGTTTTTGAAATTGTTTAGAAAAACAAATATTGCCACGAGATTCAGCATAGTCGGTAACCTATGTTTTCATTCATTTCTGACAGTCCCAAAACTAACGGCAGAGGAGTGCTAAGGCTTCAAGGAAAATGCCCGTAGCTCCCGAACCATGAATTTTCGAGATCTCGCTTGGGTCTGATTTTGTCGAGAACACCTTTGACTATCCATGTATGAAAAAAAAACTGATAGATTCCTATGTAAAACTTTGGAGCTATAAACTGCCAGAGATCCACTTAGAAGTCCTCCAGAGATCAGCACAAAAAATTTTGATTTCTGCATATTATTACGTGTCCTGGTCTTGGCTACACGGTGGAGAAGATCCGATCTCGATAGCTTGTTCCGTTCTCGAGTTATTCATGTCGCAATCATCCACACTATATTTTGAAATCAATAGTAGTAGTTGAAGTTCTTGAGCTACGGCCTGATTTTTCAAAGATCGCTTAAAAAGCCTACTTTCGAAAAAGATTTTTGAAATCTTTTCTGTTTAGAAAAGTGCACTCAAGTCTTTTCTTTCCAATGGTGAAGACCCGAGCTCTCTAGCTCTTTTTGTGCTCGACTTATTTAAAGAACGATCAAGCGCACTGGGTTTTTCGATAACAATGAAAGAGGTTACAGAGAACAGGTTTGTAGAGAATCCCGTCCTCTAGGAAACCATCTTTTGGTCGGTCTAAATGCTATTTATGTACTTCATTAAATTCAACATGTTTCGAAACCTCTACACTAGAAATTTGGCTTTATTCGCGCGTGGTATTTTAATGTTACAGAAGAAACAGAAAAAAAAAACGGTTACGGGACATTTCTTTGTATTTTCTACTTTTCTCCCTTATAAAGCAACCTTAGTCTTTGCTATTTATACAGGATCATCATGTGAGTAGACAACACTTATGGTAAAAAAAGAAACTTTCTATCAAGCCCGATTGAGACGTGGCATAGTAGGTGGTTACGGGACAAATTGTCGGTCAAACCTCACATAACTTCAATAAAGTGGGAATTAGTTGGTAGTGAAAAGTGATAGAAACGTCGGATTTTCGCTGTTGTCTATTCTATATATTTAGTCAACTTTTAGCATATAAAGAAGGCAAATTGAATAATTTACCAGAGCTATCACAGACCATGTGGTTACGAGACAGAAAAAATATTTTTTTTGGGATCACAAATTCGGAACAAATTTGTGAAAAAATCGAACAATCGGTAACAAAGATAATGATGTAGCTGAGTAGAGCGAAGAAAATACTATAAGAAAGAGAGAAAAAACATATGCTTTTGAAAAGAATGCTTTTGTCGTAGATGCGCCCAATGTCGTTGCGTCTAAATGTCGCTGTGTCCAAATATCGTGCGCCCGAATGTCGCTGGACCCAAATGTCTGGTAATCCGCTCGCACAGTTGCAATTTTTCTTCATTCATTTTTGGTATCAAAAATGGTTCTTCTTTATCATGAAATACACCAAATATACGGGCTTTCTTAGTGTATAGACTCAGTTAATGTTTGCTGTGTAAAGATCTCAAAATAAAACTGCACAGAAGTGAGAAATGCATGAAATGAGACACACTTTCTTTTTAAGTGACTCTTTTATATCAATTTTCACTTTTTTTTGTGACATATACGGACTGAGTTAATCTGCGAAAGCGACGTGTCTCAAAAGAAAACTTGTCCAGAAATTTGTCCAGAGTGTTTAGCATTGTGACTAGCGAAATAAGGGAACAGTAAGGAACAATTTAGTGGGTATATCCTCTGAATTTACTACCTGACTCTCTATTTATATTGATTTTTCCTTTTCAGATAAAGATTATAACAAGATCAAAGCATTCTCTGCTCGCATTCAAATTTGATTGCACTATGTTCTCGAAGAAAAGTCCGAGTGAAACATAGTGCAATCGTAGATAACCAACGGTGACAGAAAAAATGTGAAACTATTACGTACCGGTACAACACAACATGCTTGCCGCACTAGTGGTGCCGGCCTTTTTTCAGTACTATACTGGGATTTTTCTGTACGGGAGTCGATCATGTTTTTCATAAGAATCTTATAAGGATAACGTACGAGTTTTGCTGACTCTTATCAATTTCTTATGAATTCTTGTGAGATTCTTACATGCTTCTTACAAGCTGCGTATCTGACTTTTGTATAGGAATCGATGACTAGGGAGGTACGATGAAAAACAGTTTATTAAATATTGACTACAGTTCATTTTGTTTGATTTTTTATCCACTCGATTTCTGTTTCTGATGTTTTTGCTGATATATAACTGCCTAAATTCGGTATCAAATCGGTACCATAACAACTAATAGAAATAAATACAGTAAAACCTCTATTAGTGAACACCTCCCATTTTGAACAAGGTCTCGGTCCGACGGAGCTATTTTTGCTGGAAATGCACTTCTCTAATGTGAACATCTCTCTATTCTGAACATGAACACTTCTTTACAGTCCCTCTAGCTACTATAACCTCTCTAATGTGAACACACGTGCAATGATTTTTTTTATCTCTATCTACTGTCTATCACCTTTCTCTTACGTGTCACGACTGATCATGCTCTCTCACGGACAAAAAAAGTACATTTTTCTATTCGCACGTTCTCTATATTTTATTATTATACTTTCGTTTGCATATCCATGGATAATAAGTTAAACTACATATATATATATATCTATGAGGTCCATTTCACTCGCTTATTGTTTCGGATTTCTTCGGCATATACAAAAATGTCTCATTTTCGTGATATTGAACGAATACAAATAATAATTTATACTATAATAAGATATGAAAGTAGATCAAGAAAAGATGATAACTCGGATGAAATAGAAAAGAAATAGACAAACAACAACAGAAGATTTTTTTGTACAAAACTCAATTCTGTGTTGTATTTGAAGATTTTTTCAACTAAAAGATATTTAAATAAAAAGAGATGAACAAGAGAATGAAGAGCTCTTATTTCACTCAGGACTAGTGTAGAAGCAGACATTCTAGAATTTTTTCTTCATTTTTTGCAGCAAAACATGCGTCACCTCTCTAAAGTGAACACCTCCCATAGTGAACACTTTTTGGACGGTCCCAATGGTGTTCACAATAGAGAGGTTTTACTGTACATTTTTACAACAACTTGAGTATATCCAGTCTCAGCGAAACATTTGCAAAAACGAAGTTAGAACATATAAAATAGTAGTAAGATTCAAGCTTCACACCTATTTGTTCTAGTTCATAGCTGATGAGCTCTGATAACACTTCGTAAATCAAAATTACATGTCTCCTACAATATAAAAGGTCATAGGAAACATTCAGAAAAAAGCATCTGTCTATATTGATCGAGTACTGTAGAGTTTAAATCAATTAATAAATTATGAAGTGTTATACTGCTTTATTAAAATTGTTTACGCGCGAAAAAGTTACATTACAACAATACCGTACAAGAGCAAGGGTTTAAAAAGTGAAATTTTTTCTATATTGTCAACATTTTTATTTTCATAAAAGTAGCACAATAGAATCAGAAGATTATATGGTGTCCAATACATCAAACAAATTCGCAATTACAAAGAATATCTTTCATAAAAATATTGTGTTCATGCCTTATTTCTTGGAATAACGGTACCACCGAATATTGCCACTTTATTATTTAATGGCCGTTGCGCATGTTCTTGTTTTAAATAGTTTTCTAGCTCTGGTATTTCACGGAAATGTTTCATAAAATTTTTCAAATGTGAATATTTATCAATAATACTTTCATCTAACATTAAACAACTATCAATATATTCAAATAATTGAAAATCAGCTGCTGTTATATCATCGCTACATGACCATTTTTTACCAGTTTTCTTTAAAAAGTCTTCAAAAAGTTTTAGTTGTTCAGTTAATTTTGTTTCAATAAATTGTTGTTTATCCGTTGCAAAGTCTTCTTTTGGATGATAACAAACACCATTTAATTCACTACGTAAATCATGAGATTGATCAATTATCATTGATATTACAGCTTCTTCACGTTCATTTTTACCCATCAAATGATATTTTCGAGCCAGATAACATAAAATTGTTTTACTTTGAGTTAATTTGATATCACCATCGAACAAATAGGGAAGATTTGGAAAATCTTAAGAGAAAGTTTTTATCAGCATTTTTCTCTGCTCGAGTTACCATTAACTGGAAGAAATTCAATAATTAAAAAAGATTTAACACCTTACCTAAACCTAATTTTGATTTTTTCGAAAACCATTCATCTCTTGAATATTCTGGTGCATCACCTTGTACATAAAATTCATCATTGTACGGTGTTTTTGTATAATGAAGAAGAAGACGACTAGGCTCCGCTAGACCACGGATAGCCCAATAACCGAGTGTTAGTTGTCCTTTTGACTGAGCCATCAGCTATTGAAACACAAAGTTCTAGAATAAAATAAAAAATACAAGTTTAGAGTAAAAAATATTAACTACCCAAATATTTTCGAAGACAAGATATCAAGCTTGATTCTCGTGATGATGGCAAGCGCTACAAATTCTTTTTTTTCGTCGCTATAAATTCTTTTAAAAAGCAGAATATATACACTGTAATACATACAGTGTATATATTACACATATATTTATGTTTTTCTAAAAGGACTATCGAACTGAGTCTTGTGAAGAGCATTAGATGAAAAAAAAATTCTTTTTGATGTGAAGAAAAGGATGAGTGTGCGCGTGGTGAATGAAGAATAGTAGAAAAAGTTTGAATCTAGAATGAATAGAGATGCGACAAATAGCAATTTTTTTTTTTTTTTCTTTTCTGTTTTCTTTTCTCATTCACGTTATATATAGACATGCACCAGTTTTTAACTGGTGTTGGGGCATCCGAGAGAATTGCTATAAATCAGTTATCACGATTTTCTCAGAGTTGTAAAACATCTAATTTTGTAGAAACATGTTTGCTCTACAAAATGCATTTCTTAAAAGAATTCCAGAATCATTTCTAAGAAAACTTAGAGCATTCTAAAATGTACTAAATTACGAAAAAAAACCTGTACGAACAGGTTTTTTTCCGTGATTTAATGTATTTTTGAATACTCCAAGTTTTCTTAGAAATGATTCTGGAATTCTTTTAAGAAATGCATTTTGTAGAGCAAACATTTTTCTACAAAATTAGATGTTTTACAGCTCTGAGAAAATCGTGATAACTGATTTATAGCAATTCTCTCTGATGCCCCAACACCAGTTAAAAACTGGTGCATGCCTAGTTATATATAGTGTGCGCTCACGGTGCAATGTACGGTACACATATATAACATACATTAACAGTTGTCTATCTAGAGTGATGCCAAGTTTCTTTGTTTTCCTTACTCTGTACGATGCATCATAATAAAAAGCAAATAAAAGTGGCTGTTACGTTAAACAAGATGTGTCAGTCATCTAGATAAAATACGCGGTAGAAAAGGACATAAAATATAAAATAAATCACCATGTATATGAGTCATTTGCAACTTTATTGTACAATTGGTGAAAAATAATGACAGTGACTTTAAACAAAATTTGATTAGCACATCTTGTTCCAAAAGTTAAAAAATCTCGATCTACAAAGTGAACGTAAAACAATTTTCATCATAGCCGAGCATAAATAAACACAAAAAAACAAAACAAGCATGAAGACACACAGTTTGATAGAGCATTAAATGCTCTACAAAACGTACTATTTGCTTTTTGCTTTTCGTTCCTTCTTTTGTTAGAAAAACTTTCGTTTCTCGCAATAACTCATCTAAAAAACATCGAGATAAACCCAGCAAAAGTCGAAAAAAACGTGAGCTGTTGAGATATCGAGCTTAGATTTTCTGTGGTACTGAAGCAAGCAAACAGGGATAAAACAAAAAAAGGAATTTCGAAATCCGCTTTCAGAAACCGGAATAATTTTAAAAATATCACAAAAACTCAATTGCACAATAAAAGTTGCAAATGACTCATATATACAAATATTATTGTTAACCTTAATTCTAATAAAACATGATTTCACTATACACAATTACAATTTTTATTCATTCAAATAAAAGAGGATCACTCGATGTCTATACGATTAGTATTGTTAGTGTTATTATTAAGTAAAATTTAAAATTTATAAATTCAATATTTCATTTCGGTATTTCAAGCCGGTCTGTCGTTTAAAATGACAATAATAAAAATACACATTGTATCATCAACCACACACATGTCTATCGTGTATAACTTACATACAGACTATATTTTGATATTTATAGAATTTAATTCAAATCTGACGTTGAAAAGAAGAGAGAAAAAATTTCTCTTGTGTTCTTCTTACATTGCAAAAAAACGATTCATACACTGGTCGACTTTCATGTTCTGTTTCCAGCAAGATTCTTGTCTGTTGCTATTTCAGACAAGATTCTTTAAAAATTTGTCCTGATAGATCAGATACGATTCTTCTTTTAATGTTTTATTGATTTTTTATCTTTTTTCGTGAAATATTCTTGTCTGAAATGGCAAGATTCGTTTTTCGATAAAATCACCAATTTGTTTTACCGTTTCTTGTCCTATATAAAAGTTATATACTATAACTCAATACTATACATAGATGTCTGTAGAAATTCTTTTAAATCTCACAAGCTTCTTGTCGAGGGACAATCGAGTCTTTCTATGTGTCTGTATTAACGTCGGAGCAGCTAGCTTCCATATATATAAAAGCATAGAAGATGAAAAATGGATTTGCATTATTTATTTGCAAGATTCTTGGCTGAAATCACAAGAGACAAGGATCTTGCAAGAAATAGAACAAGAAATTCGATCAGTGTAGCTATAGCCAACAATCAAATTCTGTCATTATACCTCTATTCTGTTCTCACTCAAACCGAATCTGTTGAATTCTGAGTCCAAAGTCTGTCTGATATATTGCTCTAATCAAGTCATTTATTTAGTTATAAAATATAAATATCATTCAGTTTTATGCCATACTTTATTCTCAGAGTGCGAGGCAGCGCAATAAAGTTAACCTATATCGCTAAAATCGCTCCATTCTGGGCGATCAGTTGCGATTAGCAATAAAATCGCCAATTATTTGCAATTTTGACTATAATCGTCCATAAATTGCGATATATCTGCGATATTTAACAATTGGCAGCTAATCAGCTTGCATGAAAAACCGTCAATTGTTAACAACCACGGATATATCGCGATTCTTAAAGATCCTGGTGATGTTTATGTCTTTTTAATAATGGTCAATTAATTGCGATTTTAATTGTTGTTGATTTTAAGAGAGCCGCCGTCACAGTACCGAACATACTGTCCGCTGACAAATTCTCTTTTTAAATTATTCATTCACATGCTATTCGAAAGAGCATTGAAAATGACTGCTAACCCTGCAATAACTCTTTCTGAAACTATTTTGTTAAGAGACTAGAGACAAAATATTCTTGGGGGTCGCCGATGCATCGAAAAAACCTGGCTTTTCACGAATCTTTGTAGTTTTTGATTTTCTCAAATACTGTGAAACTCCTATGAGTGGTTTATGGCTCATTTGAACGAGCGATGTTTACTCTATAAGATCATGTATCTAGACATAGTAATATGTTTAGTAATATGTTTAGTTATGTTTACGACTAAATAATAGAAAACTAAAACATTTCATATTTTCGAATATGCATTTTTTTGAGTATTTTTAAAGAAAAGACTACGCATATTGCAGTCCAAAAATAAATCGGAATGGCTATTGCCACCACCGGTGGTGTCAACACGGAGCTATTGCCACCACCGATGGTGTCAACAAGGAGCTATTGCCACCACCAGGTGGTGTCAACTACAGCTATTGACACCACCAGGTGGTGTCAACTACGGCTATTGACACCACCATGCAAAATCAAAGAGTAGGTGGTGTCACCCAAGCAAAACTAAGTAAGCGAGAAAATCTAGCTGCAGAAGTAGCTGCAGCGCCCACTTACGGCTAGATTAACTAGATTAAAAGGTACATTTATCTAGCTGCATGTTGGTTGAAATTGTGTACTAGCTGAAACGGCCACTGCATGGGCCAATTAATCGAGCAATGAATTGCCCGATTAATCGATAGCAACTAGTTGTACCCAATTGAAACTAGCTTCAATCTAGCTGAAGCTAGATAAAATTTTCATGTATTTCTGTGCAGCTAGCTGAAGCTAGATAAATGTACCTTTTAATCTAGATGCAGCGCCCGCTTCATGATTTTTTTTCGTGCTTGGGCAACTACGGCTATTGACACCACCAAGCAAAATCAAAGAGTAGGTGGTGTCAACTACGGCTATTGACACCACCAAGCAAAATCAAAGAGTAGGTGGTGTCAACTACGGCTATTGATCAAGCTAATTTTTAAGAATGGGGCTGTCTACTGCTGAGGGGTACGTAATCCTGAAGGCTATCGGTTTGCAACTTCTAGGGCCATGTTTAATGACTTTCATGTTCTTTTTATATCAATTTAAGTTCTTTATTTGTTCTGTGATAAATACACATTAATCTGCCTTGCTATCTGTCGAACCGTTTATGCTGTGG